GGCAGGACGCCCTGCATGTCCTCTGGAACCGGTGTGACACAAACGACAGGCTCTCTCCGGGGTGCTAGCTCACGCCCTGGTGCAAACTCTCTCCAACTCTCATGCTACGTACTGCCTGTGCCATTTAATCGTATGGCACCCAAATGGACCATGATAAGCATTTCCAATGTGTTGTGCTGCAGAGCTTTGGGGCACGCTTGAAGGCTTCCAAACGTCCGCACGGTACATCTGGATGCACAATGCTGGTGATAACGCACCGGTGCAAGCACACTCGCTATATGTATCAAGTTGATCATTGCTGATGTCAGCTGGTTGAAAGTTAACGCGCGCAATGACGGTTGCATCAATGTTTAGCATATGTACTGCTGCAGGCTATGTTTCATGAAAAGGCCAGTACTTGTACACGTGCCATGTCGTCTATGTGTGCAAGGTGCTTAGGCGTTAGGCTCGCGTTCCAGTGATGCAAAAGGCATGGCGTGGCCAATGCCATGTTGGAAGCTTAGGCCGGTGCTGGGGTCCAGCGGACGTGCTGCTTGCCATTGTAGATTTGCTCATCGCCGAAGGCGCTGGCCTCGGAAACCAGAAACAGCCCAGGGATCCTACTGCATCCCAACCAGGTGGACTGGGAATCCTCAATGCCAAACAAATATTGATCGTGAGTCCTCCTCCAACCTTGCACTAATGGGCTTTATGCAAAACTACGAAAGTAATCAAGAGAGCAGGTGATAGCAGCCGCCTATTTTGGGTTCGGGCTGTCCCGTTTTGCTTTTGGCTCAGGTAATGCCGCTTGGGTTAGTGCAGGCTTTCGCGTGAGTAATCGGACTTGCTTGTGGCACTAGGGAGGGCCACTCCCAGAACATCGCATTGACATGCATAGCGTCCAGAAGCATGCGACACCCTACCCCACGTGCACATGTGCGGCATTGATTTCTCTGACAGATTCCTCCCCTCCCCCAAGAGATGTTGATATATGCTTCTTTTCATGGCATTTTGCCTCTCATGGCATTGCCACAGAGCCCAGCCACCAACAATCATAGTTTGCACTGATCATCGCAGGCCTCCGCCACAACGCTAGGGAACCCATTCCGCAAGAATTCCTAACTCGGAATGTTTCGTTGTAAACAAGGGCTACCCAAAAAAAAGTGCTTGGACGTGTGGACTGTGATATTACTCTCTGAAAAGGTGCCCAGTTGTGTGCCATGACCCTCTCTGGCAAGGCCGGAAAGAAGTGCGATCAAACTAATACCTACGCTGCAAGTCTATTCACGCAAAAGCCACTGCGCACGTTGGCTGAGGGGGTCTTTAGATAACGGAGTCAAATGTTCTGCAGCCGCTGTACATGCAGTACAAGGAACAATGAACCTCTATTTGGTTGCTGCATTCGTTCGGGCCAAGCAGCGGCCACAAATGCCAGCGCATCACAGCATTAAATACGTACCATGTTCAGCGTAAGCGGAATTGAATGCGTCCCTAATGTAATCCACACCTGGACGGTTTAGGAAAGGAAGGGGGCCTCCTTACCTCCTGTTCCCGGCATCGTGGAACTAAGCCCCACGGATCTCCAATGAATCCCTAGGACAAAATCCGTTAAGCCATCACTGTGGCAACCCAGGCGAGAACAGCCGTGGGGGCCAACGGGCATACCAATGCCCACATCGTGCAAGCCAAGCAGGCGCAAGGGAAGACTACCACCGACTAGGATGACCACAAAACATGATGCTGACAGTCCCTTTGGACATCTCGTAGCGAAGCAACATGCGCCTGGACGTACCTGCACCCTACACAAACCACCATCTGAACCAAGGCATCCCTAAGCCACCAACCGCCAACCTGCACGCAAAGTGAAAAGCCAAACGTGTCGACTCGTGTGTGGACTCCGTAGCGAGGCGCGTTGAAGTAGTGCCGGATCTCCGGAAAGGCTTGGATGCGCCAGCGCCTCAAGAAACGAGGGCAGTTTGGCATAAGGGGAGCCAAGGTAGGTGATTTCCGTCTGCATTTACACTACGGGAGGCCTGAAGATTTCAAAAAGATCAATCCCCTTTGAGTTCCTTTCAGGAAAATCAAGCAATATGTGTGCTGTTTAGCTTCAGCCCTTTGAGATTCTCTTTGGGGGGTTTACCTTTAGGCTTTCATGCAAAATCACCCCACTTGAAGCAAGTGCACATTATTTGCTCCCAAATAGTGACGTGCGAAACTCCCGAAGACGGATGTGCCCATGGAATTCCTGCCAACCTCGAAAGGAAACTTGAGGGGTGCTCTTCCCAAGTGGCAGTCTGGGTGCTCACTATCTTGACAGTGGCTGTTCCTCAGAGGCGTCCCCCAGAGAACAAAAAGCACAACATCAAATTCTGCCCGAGGACAGTTCCCTCATTTCAGGCTCGCCAGCCTAACATTCAAGCCAATGCAACCTGCTCTAACAAATCACGGGCTTGATGTCCTGAGGCTTACGCTTGGTCCCTTTGAACTGCATAGAGATGGTTGTCTCGCAGTAGGCATCTGCCTTGGCAAGATGCAAGGCAAACAAAACAACACCGATACAGCGTGTGACGTTCATGGATGCGGGAGAGTCTCGGTGACTCAGGTCAAAGGTCTTGCAACAATAGCTAGCACTACGTATTGGCTTCTTTCGACCTGGCTTGAGGGCTTCACAAGCAATGGTTGCCTGTGAAATCAAAGAGTTTCACTGGCAAAACGTAGTCGCACAACCAAGTCTCGCAAGTTGTTCATCTGCTGCTTCTTCGACGCAGGCGGCGCATTCAGCGATCACAAGGGCACAGGTGGCCCAGTCAAGAAACTAGAATTTAAATGGAACCATGGTCGCAGCTCATGGCGTGCGCTGCAGACAAGCCAGGACTAAAGGTTTTAGCGCTTCAAACCCGGATGAATACAGCTGCTGTTGCATGGATTGATTTTGTTGCGTGTTTTGTGTTGCAGCTGCTGCCGCCGCCTCAATTCAGCTGCTGAGAACATTTCTTGAATGATCTTATATCGGCTTTTATTGAATCTTGAATCTCAGTAGACAAAACTTAAGGCTGCCTCGACTGGTTTGTGGAAGCTCCCCCACGTTGAATTGCGTTGGCCCATCAGCCAGTCTTCAAGCCACATGACAAAACAGTTGAAAGTAGGCCAGCCCACTTCAGGCGCAACAGCTGCCATTGTACAGTAACCTAACATGATTGAAACCAACAGCCATTGACTGCATTCATGATGTGATAGGCATCTCAGGCCGCTCCCATCAAGATGACTGCTTTCAAGATACAATGCATTGCGACGACATTCGGGTATGACACAGGCAACATGCACAAATTTACACAAACCCTAAGCTCAAACCCCCGAACCTGCCAAGGTTACGCAGGTTCGCATTTTCCATATGCCCCTTCCAGACTTCCATGGCTCAGTTCATGGGGCGGAGCCTTCGCAGCACGCTGCCATGGTCCATGTTTCGCATTTCACGGGGGGTCGTTGGCGCGGACGTCGGATGACTTGGGCTTGTCTCATGGCTGAATGACTCGGCTCCCAAAAAATCGGATGCCAAATGGTTGCAAAGAAGGATTTAATAGCCCCACAAGGATGTTGACTTTGATGCGCTGACACAGGTTCGATGACCATGCTCGACACGCCATGGCTGAATTCCTCAATGCAACTTCCAAGGATACCAGGGTCGAAACAGGTGAACCAAGAGCAAACAAATAAAACAAGCAAGCAAGCAAACAAACAAGCACATCAAGTATTTGAACAAATCGGTGCCGCCTCATTTGGCAGTTCTGTGGAAACAGCCGCTAGGAACGCACATGCAAGCGCACAAGTGACACGAATCACAAGTGGGAGTTTGAAGGCAACGCGCAAGATGATAGACCTCACTCTAGAATGGGCACGCCCTTCACAAGTTAACGGGGTCGGCTCCTGCTCGGAGCTAATATCACTTGTTACAGAAAGAACCTGACGGTGGTGGCAAACAATGCAAATGTGGCTGCCACCAGCATGCTCCACTATGACAGCCTCAAGTCATCAGAGCCCTCATGGCAAATGCCAGGCTCCCGGCATCAACCGGATTGAAATTTGGGATTGTAGGGAGCGAGGGGCACCTTGAGCGAGACAAACGCACCTTGCCTGCAAAATAACATGCAACTTGATAGCCCTGATGGTCCCGCTCGCCCCGGCGCCCCGGCACTGCCGAGGCTTGCCGCTTGGACATGCCGCGAGCAGCCAGCGAAATCTAATCGGCACACGCTTGGTCTAACCCAAGGGCAGCAGCGTCATGCAGATGGCTTAGTTTCCTGTGCCATGTCCATGTCGAACTCAAGAGCTTAGCCCAGAGTGCTGCGCAGCCTTCTGGACAATGGCACGAGCCAGCTCCGTCCTGGTTGGGTCTGTGCCTTAGCTGCTGATTGCGGCATTGGCATCTCACTTCCCCTCAGTCCATTAGCAGCCTTTGCATGCCAAGCATGTAGTTGGTCTGTATGGCTTTGCTTTGGAGACAAGGTCAGCAAACGTCAGCAACCAGCTAGAGCCCGCACCAATGGCCCATGTAACCCTCACCAAAGGAAGCCAAACATACGGGTTCCACAACAGGTGCCACATTCACAGAAGTTCAACCAATCTGACACCCAAAGGGTCTTTCATGGCAGGTTTCTGCATGGCCCAAGGCCCTTGGGAAGCAATTCTTCCTCTGTAAGCCGAAGGTACGGCCCAACGGGTTCTTCTGGTTCTTCACAAGGTCAGCACCCCAGGACTCCCGCTCTCCCAGCCAGGCCCGCCCTGATTGCAGATGCCATCTACCCGTCTGCCGTGCAGAACCCCGGAGCCGCTAAATGTGTTGTGAAACAAGATGGAACAAGAACCCCGGAGGCAGAAATTGATTTCCAGTGAAACTCTGCTCTGGAAGAAAAACTCATGGTTGAGAAGCAAGGATACCTGATCAGACTTACAGCCTCCGCCAAAAGTCAAAGACGAGTTTGATCCATATCCTGGCAATTGAAAGCAGCAAAAAACAGGAAACAACAGATCTGAGCCCCTCCTTGCTTGTCCACCAGCAGGTCGACTCGCAAATACTGTGGCAGCTTGCCCTTGGCATCCGATCGTACCTCTTCGACCACTTGCTCCACCTGGTCGCGGAACCCCACGGCAGGAGATCGTAGGACGCGCGTGTTGTAGTCAGGCAACTTCAGGCAAGGAAATGACAGACATTCGTGCACAACATAATTCCGTACCTCGCAGCTCTCCGACCATCACCCAGGAACCCCCAAAGAGGTTCCTTTTAGACATGTATCTCCTAGCGCCCCAAGTTCTGACACGTCCCGTTTGTCATATATGCATTCAGCGCGAGCGCGTTCCAGCCTTGGGACGCAAGCTTTCCTCCAAGGCTGTGAGGCTGTCGGTGTCGTGAATGAGGCCCGAGCGCTTCAAGGCCTCCCCTGGCAGGCGCTCAGCCAATGTTGCCGAGAAAGGAAGTGGTCAGCAGGCAGGGGCTCTTCCACTCTTTAAAAAGGAGACCCTGTTCATCCTATCGCAATCCTATGGCACGTCTTGTTTGGCTGGTGCTCTGCGTGAACGCTTGGGGAACATGCTCCTACGCCACGAAACGAAAAAAACGGGTACCCCCCCCAAGAACATTAACCCGGGACTTGCTTGAATTTGGTCCAAGCGACCATGTCAAAGACCCAAATCCCAAATGGGGAAACTTCAGAAACAACAAAAACAACTAATTGCTAAAGCCACTAGCCGGCAATGGAACCCACTTCCCAAAACCAATCAAACCAAAAAGAGGAAGGGGGGAGTCTGCTTGCCGGGCGTCTGCTGGCGTGGGCATTCTTGTAGCAGCCTGTGGCCGCAGTTCGCCCCAGGCGCGGCGCCGGCAGTGTGGTCCAGCCCCGGCCCCGCAGCTGGCCATCCAGCACCTGCCATCGGCGGCAGGTGACGTGCAGAGGGGAGGGGGAAGTTGGTTTGTAGACCTAAGTTACACACTTGGGTGCACCTGGGTTCCACAAGAGTTGCACCTGGGTTACACAAGAATACAAGAGTTGCACCTGGGTTGATCACGAGGGGGATGGAAAACCAGAAGCAACTCGGATATGTCCAATTTTGCTATGCTAGGGCTCTCCTGTCGCAAGCATAGTCTATGGTGTTCATATGCGCGTATTCTCAAACACGCCCGTACAAGCTCACAGTTTGAGCCATCTTGCAGCGTTCCGCTATTCGAAAAGTTGATTGGCACACCGTTTGCCGGATTCTCTCTCTCGCATTTCTTGGCCGCATTCGCCAAATGACTGGTTCACCATGTTGCCTGCTGTTTGTGTCGCACTTCTTTGCGGCCCAAGGTGACAGTCGATGCTTGCAGTCCAACACTTGGGAAATCAGGCCCCCGGAGAAGTGGCAATGTGCAGCAAGTGAGGGTACTTGAGTTGCTAGTTTAAATTCGCCTAGCAGCAGGTGGAAGCCTCCTGGCAGGTCAAGACCGAATAATCAAGCAGCAGCTGTCTCAACGGAGCTGCGCCCCCTCCTTTTCGGTCCCTCCGTAATTTATCATGGGACCAATCCTGTGTTAGTGGGGAGAAAGCCCACTGCTTAATCTGGCGTTCCTTGACATCAAGTTCCGACATGGGCGTATGGACCACGACGCCCAGTTCGCCGAGCTGCCATCCACCGAAGCTCCCCGGCCACCTCGATCTTGGCCTGCACCAGCACCGTCAGCTCCGCCGCCTGGGGCCAGAGGTGCAACGGAAACCCGTGCGCATTGCCTTAAGGAACTGCTACCGAAATTGGGGAGAACTCCAAACCTTGTTCCACTCCTTCCCCAGAAAGGGAACATCAATACCAGAAAAGAAACTACTACCCATCTAGCATAAGACATAAAGACTGATGCCAGGTCAAGACTCGAGGAATACTTCACTGTACCTCAAGCATGCCGATATATCGAGGGGGAACGACAGGGATAGCCATGACCATGAGATATGGCGGCCAAACAAACAAACAAACAAACAAACACGCAAGCAATCAAGCAAGCGTGCAAGCAACCCAGCCAGCCAAGCCAAGCCAAGCCAAGCCAAGCTGAATCAACCAACCAAAGCAAACCGAACCAAACCGAACCAACCCAAGCAAACGAACTAACAAGCCAGCCAAACAAACAAACAAAGAAACAAGCAAAAGCAACCTCGCCTACAGACAAACAAGCAATCAACCAGTCAAGCAGGCAAGCCAACCAGCCAGCTAGTTGGCCAGCAAGCCAACCAGCCAGCTGGCCAGCAAAGACGCGTTGAAACCCGGGCCTAACCAACGCATGCAAAGAGCTTCTTGCTTGCTCCGCCCCTCCGGCCTCTTGGGGGATCTTTGGGATGACGCGGCGCAGCAGGAACTCTGGCACCTGCCAGCGTCTCCAGAGAGAACACCCCTGTCGCAAGATGCCCATCGTGCAATGTTTTCTGCATGAAGGCATCTAAGGGGAACAAAGGAACACGAAATGCTCCTGCTGGGGCCACCCACCACACCCGTCACCCAATTCCA